CACCGTGGGGCTGTATGGAGGGGTGATGGGGAGCAGGTGACCTCCAACCACAGATGAGGAAACCCACCTTCAGAACAGCCCCTGGGTCCTAGGTTGGTTAGTACTGCAGTGGGGCAGGACTGAACTCTTTCCCGAAGTCTCACCCATGTTCTTTCCCCTCTGCCACCCCACTGGTTATGCTACCTGCAGAGTAGGATTCTGAGGGGCGTGGAGTTAGAAATCAGACGGTCACAGTGTTTAAAGATTAAATCAGCCAAATACCATAGTGGTCTAGTCTATGTGACTGAAAGCCAGTACAGCAAGAGCAGTTTGGACAACCTGTTGCAGGTGGTTGTAATTGGGATAGACTCTCTGTCCAGATAGGGAGTAGGACCTTTCAACCAACTGTGATTTAGTTTTTAAGCCCTTAGTGTATTGAGACTGGTAAGAAATGGTAGCTTGATGGGGTTTTTTTACATCTTATATAAACTAGAGAATTTCCAAAACAGTCCCTACCATTGTTTCAGGTTTTCACTTATCATTTATGTTGAAAGGAAATCAAGTATGACCAAACGTGCTCTTTGCTGTTATTTCAAATGGGCACCAAGTTCCCTGTATAATAGAAGACTATCACTCTGTCTGGGCTGCACAGTTGGAAATCATGTGCTTCCCCACCCTTCTGGGAGTCCTGAAGTTATTAATTCAAGAGAAAATTGCCGTGTTATCATTTTAACTTGCCAAAGAGGCCTTGATATAGTACGAGTATAAATTGTAAGGAAAAGCAAGTTGGGGTTATACAAAAAGTTTATTGATCAGAATCACTAATTTATTTTAAATCTACACTTGAAAGAAATACCACAGTTCCTGGGGAACAGCCTTACAGTTTACACCTTTCCCTCCCTTGCCCACCTCCAGACTTGTTTTAATGGAGGAACACAATTTTCCACAAGACAGAACAGTGGCCTGGGACCCACGTTCACCATATTGAGTGAGAGAGTCTGGAAGCCATTTCATTTAATGGAAGACGTACATTATACATTAATGCGTAACCACAGAATATTCCTCACATACCCAGTTGTCGGTCCTGCCCTTCTTGTCGTACTGGTGATGGTTTCAGTTGTACTTTTTCCTATGATTCTTATCCTAAAAGTGTAAGTTTCATTTGTTTTTGTTTTGTTCTGTTTTGTTGACTAGACCAGTGACAAATGCACCAAGAACAGCTCATCTCCTTCATCTTGCCCTTACCTGGTTAGTTCATTCCTAGTTTCTGAAAGTAACACTTTGGAAGGCTTATGTTGGAGGAAACTAGGTTTTTGAAATTGAAGGTAACAAACTATTAAGTGGCAGAGTATCACTCGAATCTCAGAACTGTCAAGGACGGAATTCCTCCAGGGCACACCACTCGTGGGAAGTGGTTTGGCAGTGTCTGTGTTAAGCTGCATTTCTGAATGAGATGGAATAAAGAAAGGAACTTGATTTTCCAAGTCTTCTGTTTTTAGAACTGATGTGCGTGTCCCGAGAAGTTTTGGGTGTAGAGACAATAGGAGACACTTGTTTGAATTTATTGCTTTTTTCAACCAGGTTTCTTCTAGGTTACAGTTATTGTTCTGGGTACATCACTTCTTTTCCTCATCAGCGAGTTGATGGGCTTAGGAGCACATGGTTTTTAAGGATCCTTCAACCTTAGAGACAAAGGTCATTCTGCCTTCTGTGTGGAGGATGTGTTTGAGGAGGACAGTCACTGAGGAGGCTATTGACCAGCAGCAGTGGCAAGTGGAAAGGGGACTAGTTAGCTGTCAGGACTTGGTATGACCCACCGGACACATGATTATTTAAGGGAGAAGTTAAGCTTACCCCCAGTCTCAGGCCTGGGTTCTGGTGAACAGCAATAAATGCTGTCATGGGAGACGGATCAAAGGAGTCGGTTTAGGAGGAAGTGATGAGCTCTGCTTTGGAAATCCCCACTGGCGTTAAGAAAAGATCCAATTCACGTTTTCTTTTTTTTCTTAGTGGAAATCACTATCTTTTAGATATCGAACACTCAAGTTTAAGTTCAGTGACAAAGACTTGCAGATAAAAACAAAGACAGTGGACCAAACACAAGCATTTATTTTGGCTCCCTCCCAAAACACTGGTAAAATGTTAATAAAATATAAAAAGATGTTTGTAGGATTTTTTTTTAATCCTCACCCGAGGACACTTTGATTCTAGAGAGAAAGAGAGAGAAACATGGATGTGGGACATGGATTGGTTACCTCCTCCTTGCACCCCAGCCAGGGATCAAACCCACAACCTGGGTATGTGCCCTGATCAGAAATCGAACCCACAACCTTTTGGTGCACGGGGTGACGCTCAACCAACCAAGCCACCTGGCTCGGCTCAAAAAGGTGTTTTAAAGGACTTAAACCCCATAGGATGGGGAGAACGGGAAAGGAGACACAGCAACGAAATTCTGGAAGCGAGCAAGTGGTAAAGGCAAGTGGGTCCTAAATTGCTGATGGAGAAGGCGGAGGACCAACCTAGTTTACACCACAGAGTCCCCAGAAGGCTCAGGGTTGGTGGTAGAGGGAAGCTTCTGGGAGTGGAGTAAGGGGGGAGGAGTGGAAATAAAGGGGCTTGTCTCCAACTGTGTTTCACTCAGTAGTTGCCCTCCAAGGCCGTCTTGAGAGAGTACAGCAGTCTGGATTTTGACATGGGCCGTGGTTGAAGGCCGCAGTGTAGTGAAGTGGAGGGTAAAGCCAGTGGATCCTCTTTCTGTTATGGTTTGCTAGTTTTCCCAGTGCCAGTAAAAGGTACTTGCTGTGTTACCTTGAACAGACTTAGCACATGAACATGTATCAGGGAGTAAGGGTATCTGTTGGGGGATCTCACATTTACTTGTTCTTCCCATTAACATGCCACTGTATGGTCAGGTGAGTCCTGAGGGATCGCTAAAAGCAGAATCTCCAAATGGGTGTGTGAACCCCATGGTTGGAGCTGAAAATATTTAATATCACCCTTTAAAACTGTCTACCTTCATTGATAAAGTATATGCTCATGCTATACCATATGCACATATCCGGGAATAATTGGTCTACTTGTGTTTACATTTCTTACTGATTGCAGTGCACAGTTGTTTAGTAAACCATGCGATTAATATTCTAAGGTATTTAATATCCTAAATCGGTTCTGAATATCTGGAAGAACATCAGTGTTCTGATTTCTGATCAGCAGAGTCCAGTTTTAACAAATTCTACCTGCTTGGAGCACATCCGAGAACCTAGATAGATCAAAATCCAGGTTCTCATTAATTAATTAAAGCTCATTATTTGGCACATGGAAGAGGCTTATTTTAAATATAATACTAATAAGCTTGGTGATTTGGTTTCTAAGTCAACAAGAAGTTAGAAAGGGAAAGGGACTGTTAATGATAGGGTCACAAGGAAAAGTGACAACTCTCAGCAAAACAAAAGGTAGGAAATATTTTTATAAACTCAGTAGTACAGTCTAGCCATTTGATGTAGGAACACAAACCCTGACGTGTTGGGTTGGAGAGGGTCACTGGATTATGATAGAGTAAGTTGCTTAATATGTGAGTCCAGGAGGGTGTTAGGAATTTGCCCTCCCCTTGTGTTAACACAGGAAAGCATATAAGAATGACTTTTGTAAAGTTAGAAGTGAGGGGGGTGCTTAAAATAGCAACCCTTAGTTAACTGGAAAACGTTTCCTGAGCACCTATTTCCCAGGTTGTGGGGTACTGAGATTTTGTTTTATTTTTAGCCTTCTTGATTATTCTTGTATTTGTGTTGGTCCCTTTATTACTTTTCAAAATATTTACAGCTAACAATTACTTTGTTGATATAATTAATTCAATATAATGAAGTATTTTTGCAAAGAAAAATGATATGAGCTGGTAGAAAGTTTTGTTTCTGTTTGTATTTCTAACATAAGCCAATTGCAATTTAAAAATTTAAGAGTGCTCATAGCAGCTCTGTTCTTGGAATACAGTGGACCCTTAAATATACAGCAGGTCCTCTGTATTCCTGGGTTTCATGTGCGCAAATTCAAACAACTGCGAATGTGTGCATTATTCCACACCATTTTATGTAAGGGACTTGAGCATCCGTGGATTTGAGTATCTGTGCAGGTCCTAGAACCTGCCCCCCCCCCATACCGAGGGATGACTGAGTTTAGGGGGAGTCAAAAGTTTTAACAGATTTTTACTGCACAGGTTGGGCGCCCCTAACCCCACATTTTTCAAGGGTCAGCTGTATATTTTTCCTATATATGTGTGAAAGGTTGGAAATCTCAGGTTTTTAAGAGATGAAATACTCATGGTATGAAATGTCTTGCCTTCGTTATTTCTAGTCTTCTGGTTTATCTTCTGCCTCCACTTGTTTTCGTGTTCTCCCAGGCACTAAATGCACAGACGATCCCAGTATCAGATTCTTTGCATGTCCCACCACTTTCTGCTTTATTCTCTCATCCTCTCTTTCTGAAGGCTGTGCCTTCTTACTTGCCTTGGTCAGTCACATTCTAGAGAGCAGTGACCTGCTGGGGAACTGCTTCGCTTAGTGTCACAGCTCTGCTGTGGCGGGGATCTGGAGAGCTCTCGAGGCCCCTCCAGGCCTCGTAGCAGAATAGCAGTACTGGGGTAGGATGGCGAATGCGAATCTTCCAGATGAGGCTCTGAAAACGGAGCCTTTGCTTTTTCCTTCTAGGCCAACTGTAGTCTTCCAATTCCAGATCCTCAATTAGCTTTTTGGTCAGTTTTGTTTCTGTCCCGGTGCTCAGCCACGCGAAGATGCTGCCATCCACCCAGCCTGTAAATGTCTGTTTACTTAGAGTGGTAGCTCACTGAACCTGGACTCTCACATATCTCTGCATGTTTATCGGATCGCCTGTTTTGAGGGGATCATTAATTTGGGTCTCATTACTTCATTATATGTCATATTTATCTTTAAAGTTTTAAGTTTTAAATAAGAATATTGTCTATTTTATTGACCCTCACCTTTTCCTGGCTATGGGGCATGTCATCTTCCTTTGCCACCTTCCTCTTTTCTGCTCACCACCACTCACCTGGTGCAAACTACATGAAATGATTGTGCTAACATTTGGTAGAGATGATGGTTACTCTTTGTAACATGGAGCAGTTTGTGCATTATCACTGTCTACACGTATCAGCTCTTATTTCTGAATTTGGCTTTTTTGCAGGTCCCTAGCTGTTGGTAGTAAGTCCGGTTATAAGTTTTTCTCCCTTTCTTCTGTGGATAAGCTGGAACAGATCTATGAATGCAGTAAGTGTTTGCTTTATTTTCCCCCTTAAAAAATAGACAAGTTTAACCTGATTGATGTGCATTCGTAAATCAGACACTGTGGTTCAAGTCCAGATGCCCGTGACCAAGTCTCTTCTTCCACCTTAGTCCACCGAGAGGTGGTAGCTGGGAACAGTTTGCGTGTGTCCTCCCAGATCTTTTTATTTACATACTTATAAATGTACATAGAGAAATCCTTGTTTTACTGGTTGATTTTTTTTCAATACACGGTGTCATTCTGTGTGTATTATTCTGTAAATTTCCCCCATTTTCCATGCCATTTCAACTATTCGGGTTTCTGTCATACAGGGCCTGCAGAAAGTTGAAAACTTCACAGCCCCTGTAGAAATGATTTATTTTCTTCACTTGTCATTTTCTGGAATTTCAGTAGCCAGCGTGTCAGAGGCAGTATGGAATTGCAGAAGGGTTATGAGCTTTGCCTTCTTGCTTGTCACCGTGTGACTTTAGAGAGATTACTTCGCCCCTGCGCCTCGGTGTCTTCGGTTTTCTTCTGTATACAGCAGTACCTGCTGAATTAGAGGCGGTGGCCTCAGCCCTTCCCCCCACTGAGAATATGGAAAGCTTTGGACTCCTCCCATATTCGTAACATTTTTTAATGTGGTTAGACACCTCATATTTGTTCTTGGTGCCATTCACTCTGTAAACATTTATCGAGGACCTGCCATGTGCCAGCCCTGTTTTGTTTGTGGAGATGGCAGTAGTGACAAAGTTCCTGCTCTCGTGACACGTTTAAATGGAGGAAGACAAAACAGGTGAATGTTAGGTGGGGACACAAAGACAAGCAAACACACATAAATACCACCCGGACCCCACCCCCGTTAACATAAGATGAAGACACGGGGGGAAAAGTCGAGTCTTTGCTATTTACTTGAAACTGTGGAGTTCTCATGGCCCACAAGAGGTCAGCCTAAGTCTTGCAGTTGGTCAGCATCCCTGACTCCTGGATCCATTTGGCTGCCACAGATTTTACTTTTTCTGTCCTTAGACTTGCCTCCTGGTGCTTACCAAATCTTCTAAAAAAGTCCCTGTTCCAGTGTGCAGCTGGAAGATGTGGCCTGGATGATCAGTAGCTGTAAGCCAGTGAGCTTGCTCATCTCAAGTGGGTGTCAGTGTTTCTGAAAATCCCCACCCGGCTGCCTTCACTGGACCCCACACAGGATTGCTCCCTCTAGGGATTTCTTCAGAGACGGGTAGCCCATCTCTGGAAAAAGGATTCCATCAGGCTCTTATAATGACTGAAGTATTTACTAAAACTAATCCAAGCCAAGGCCTAGGTTGTGCTACTAAATTGTTCCTGTAGTTACTACAGGAATAGTCATCAGTTTTGAGATCCACAGAATTTCCCCCATTTGGAGACCCAGGGCTTAGAAAGGGCGTAAGAATACCTGGTCTTCACTCTTTCTCAAATGAATCAGTTTAATTACTAATCTGTTTACTTGAAGTTTATTTACTGGTTTTTGGCACCACATTTCTCAAAGGTTTTTGATGGAACAAAATGTGTTGTCTTGATAGCATTGTTAAAAGAGTGGGTGATTACTGACCGACATGGTGATTTCTTCGTTCTTCTTAGTGGCCTTTGGCCAACCAACTGAGCCACACCAGCCAGGGCTTGAAGGTTAATACTTCAAACCGAGGCTATTAAATTCTTTTGCTCCTAGAACTTTGTTTACCTTTTCTCTTTCACATACTTCTATTGAGTTAGAGAATAGAGTGTCTCTTAGAAAAACAGGTTAGCTGCTGAGTCAAGATTGTTTTCTGGCATTTTTCTACAAATAGACTTAAAGCAAAGAATAGTACTTGATGCCTCAAAATTTATCCCAGGCTCAGTGCTGGCTCGCATGCACAATTCTCAACCATCACTGTAGCATCAGTCTCTGCTCTCAGTCACTGTCGCTGTAACAGAGGAGTGAGCTGGAGCCAGACTTGGGGAAAGCAAGACTGACAACTGCTGCTTCTTTTGTTTAAACAAGAAAACCTTTGCCCAGCAGCAGTGGAAGTTTTTTGTTCGTTTTTTTTACTATCTATATTGTAATTTCAAACTTAAAGGAAAGTTGCGAGGACTCCCTTGTGTGCTTTGCCATGCTTGGTTGGTTGTGGGTGCACATTTATCTTCCTCTGTGTGTCCTTTGTTAGTTTGAAGGTAAACATTATGCAAATCTGTGGTCTCTCTTCCCTGAAATACTACTGCAATGAAATCCTATCCTGTTAGGCAAAATAAATAAAGGATGCAAATTTGTTATTTATAAGATATCACAGAGGTTTTGAAGGGAAAGTTGGCTTTTTCAGATTCTGCATTGTGTATCCTTGCATATTGCAAGTTTCTGAGTGGAGTAACATCCCTCATGAAGTATGCAGTTCTGAAACTAAACATGGGCTGACTGATCCTTCCCTTGGAAAAGTGGCCAGAGCCTGCTTCTCTGATAGAAAAGCCTCCGGGGACACGGCACCGTTTATCAAGAAATAAACTGTCCTTGTCTTCACAGCTATTTTCCTCACTGTAAGGATCTGAGAGATGGTGCTTTCTGACGTTCTGATTTGACAGGCTGTGCACTGGTCAAAATATAGTTTCAGTGAGATAGGAATGGATCCTGCAGGGGAGAAACTCCAGTAGCCTCTCTGCTTAAATCTGTTGTAATGGAAGATCAGGCTCTGAACATGTATCTCTTTAGAGCCCCAGGCATCCGACAGCCTGAGTGCTTACTGGCACTGGTGTCTTGGTAACAGGCCATCTTCAGTAATTGCAAATGTGCAGCCTTGTTTCTCTTGCTTTTCATCTGATTGCAGTACTCTTCAGTCACCAGCCTGATTCATGAAGCACCATTATCTCATGGGGGGCTGAGTCGCATGTCCTTCACCTTACTGGGAAGTAACTGCCCTGGGTATGTGGGTTCTGTGTATGTTTGGGTGTTAAAAGTTCCCTGGGCCCTGGCCGGTGTGGCTCAATGGTTAGAACATCATCCATTGCACCAAAGGGTTGAGGGTTCGATCCATGGTCAAGGCGCATGCATGAGGCAACCAATCCTTTCTCTCCCTCTTCCTCTCTCTAGAATGAATGAAAAACATATCCTCGGGTGAGGGTTTAAAAATTCCCTGGGAGTGAGGTATAATAAAAAATGTGAAAGAGCTTCTTGAAATGATGCAGTAAGAAAGTAGTGAGCCTAAGCCACTAACAGTGTATAGGTGTGGCCGCTTACGATAGGTGCGTCCTGAATGGATCTGGGCACACTGGTCTATAGGACTGAGGAACTCGGAAGTGAATCCTTTTGTGTTGTTACTACTTAGGTAGCAACAGCAGTGTGTTGGCTCCAAGTAGCCATGGCCTTGGCCTGTTTTGGTTCGTGGCTCCTTTGGACATCTGATGAAACTTACAGGTGTTTCCCCAGGAAAACCCAATGGTTGGTATATGATTTGGACAGTTTAAGAGACCCCTTGAAGCATGGAGTGTTCTGGTTCCAGGGCCTTGTGGTCTCAGAAGATCCCAGTGAGGTTTTGCCCTGACACCTTGCTTCTGTCTCTGTCGCCCAGTTTCTCACTGGTGCACAACTTGATACTTAAAAGTCCCTGCTGCCCCATACTTCTTACATCAGATCTTAATATATTGGCCAAAATTCAAATTTCTTCAATAGTCTGCCTGTGTAGGGTGTTTTTTTTTAATAGTTTTTTGAAATGTCATTTATATGCTATCAAAATGGCCTGTTTTAAGTATACAATTCAATGGGTTTTAGTGTATTTACTGGGTTTTACTGCCTACCATAACGTAATTGAAAAAATTTTTATGATTCCCCAAAAGAAACCCTGAATCCATCAGCAGTCACTCCCCATTTTCTTCTGCCTGCCTCACCCCGAGCAGGCACTAATCTGCCTTCTGCCTCTCTAGATTTGAGGCTCTGGGCATTTCAGATAAATGGAGTCATACCCGCCTGGCTCCTTTTTCTTAGGGTATTTGCAGGGTTCATCCATGTTGGAGCATATGTCAGTACTTCATTCCTTTCTATTGTTCAATAATGTCACATTGTATGGGTAGACCATGTTTTGTTTTTTTTTGTTGTTGTTTTTAAATATATCTTTATTGATTTCAGAGAGAGGAAAGGGGAGGGGGAGAGAGAGATAGAAACATCAATGATGAGAGAGTCATTGATCGGCTCCCTCCTGCACGCCCCCGACTGGGGATGGAGCCCGCAACCCGGGCATGTGCCCTGACTGGGAATCGAACCGTGATCTCCTGGATCCTAGGTCGACTCTCAACCGCTGAGCCACGCCACGCCGGGCTAGACCATGTTTTGTTGATGGATATTTGGATTATTTCCACTTTTTGACTATTTTAAATAGTGCTGCTGTGAACATTTTTGTACCAGTTGTGTGGATGTGTTTTCATTTCTCTGAGGTAGATAGATACCTGTAGGAGTGGGATTGCTGGGTGAGCATCTTTGTCTTGCCTGCTTATGGAGTACAGCTGTTGGAGAGAAAAATCAACGGGTAAACTTTTTTTTTAACCCTTACCCGAGGATATTTTTTCCATTGCTTTTCAGAGATAGTGGAAGGGAGAGAGAGAGAAACATCGATGTGAGAGGCACATCGATTGGTTGCCTCCCATACATACCCTGACCAGGGCCAGGGATCAAGCCTACAACTGAGGTACATGCCCTTGACCAGAATCGAATCCAGGACCCTTCAGTCCAAGGGCCAGCACACTAACCACTGAGTCAAACCAGCTAAGGCAACAGGTAAACATTTTAAAGTGGGTAGATATTGCCCAGTTGCCCTTAAAAGGGGCAGTACCATGTTTTTACTAATGGTAGAGCTCCTGTCTCCTCACTTCCTACCACACAGGCGTTATCAAAAAAAATGAGCCTGAGATAAGAAATGTGTTCATTGCCTTTTTTACATTTCTTAAATCATAGCTGAAGTGAACTCTTTATTTTTTTTATGCTTTTTTGTTTTTTAACTGTTTCTTTCCTTTGCCTGCTTTTCTGTTGGATTATGTGTCTCTTACTGATTTAAAGCAAATTGGCCAATTTGCCATGGGTTGCAAATATTTCTTCTGGATTGCTGTTTGCTTTTGACCTTGTTTATGGTCTTGAATTTCTGCCTGTGCAATGTATTTGTCTTCTCTCAAATGGCTTCTGAGCATGGAAAGGCTTGTCCTGTTCTGGGGGGGCATAGGACAGTCTTGTGTGTCATCATCTAGGTCTTTGGGGTTTTACAGGAAATTCTTCATCCACCTGGAATTCACTGTGGTCTAAGATAGCTTCCATTTTCAGTCACAGACTGGAGAATACATTTTTCCCATGTCCTTATTTATTTAGAGGGGCTTACAGACATATTTTCCAGGTGAAATGTCAGGATGATGGCCGCCTTTGAAACTTAAGAAAAGAACAAAATAGGTGAAGCTAAATGACAGAAAGTGAATGTTTGTTAAATCAGGTGATGGGCATATGGAGGGTTTCGTTATACTGTTTTCTTTCATGAATATTTGTAGTTAAAAGTAGCTTTGCTGCCTACACCACACATACTCTCTACTTTTAAAATTCAGAGGTCTCTTCTGCTTTTTTTTTTTTTTCATTAAAATTCAAAAAATTTTTTCCAACTTACCATTGGGTGGGAAAGGTGAACAAACACCCTACCCATTAGTTCTTTCCTTTACAAATCAGTAGATATTCCCTTAAGTACTTCAGCATGAACATTGCTAACTGGAGTTCCATGTTGTTTTTTTGGGGGTGTAATATTTACATGCAATGGAATGCACAGATCTTAAGTAAACATTCCGTGAGTTTGGACAGATGCATGCATCTGTGTCACCTGAACTCTTGTCAGGGCTCACCATCACTCCAGAAAGTTCCCTCATACTTTCCCAGTCAGTCCCAGCTCCCTGTCTCCCCTAGGAGGCAAGCGGTGTCTGTGTTTTCTCTAGTATAGGCTAAGTTTGCCTGTTCTAGAATGTCACATAAGTACAGCATGTGCTCTTGGATAAAGTTTCTTTCAGCTAAATGTTTTGAGATTTATCCATGTTGTATGTCTCCATGGACCCTTGAACAACATGGATTTGAATTGCTCAGGTCCACATACACGCAGATTTTGTACGATAAATACTTGTGCTGCTTTCAGTCTGTGGATGCGGAGGGCCAACTGTATGCATTGATCTACACATGGTTTTATGTAAGGGGCAGAGTATCTGAGGATATGTGGTTACTGAGGATAGTTAAGTTTTTGGAATCAAAAGTAAGCATTTGGATTTTCTACTCTGAGGGGGTCACCCCCCGTGTGTTCAAGGGTCAACTGTGTATATGACAGTTCGTTCATTCTCCAGTTCACAGATCTCTAGGCTTTTCCAGATTTTAGCTATTATGAATAAAGCTGCTAGGAACATGCTTGTACAGCTCCTTTTGTGGACATATATTTCATTTATATTAGGTAAATATCTAGGACTAGAACATGTGATTTGCTTTATAAGAAACTACCAGTCTCCTAAGGGGCTGTCCCTTCTCGCATCCGCTCCAGTGCTGTGGGCACATCTGGTTGCTCTGTACCCTCACCAACAGGGTGTTGTCAGTCTTTCTAAGTTAGCCATTCTGATGTATGTGTAACAGTTCTTGTTGTGGTTCTGATCTGAATTTCCCCCATGGCTTTGATGTCTGGCACTTTCGTGTCCTTGTTAGCCATTTGTATATATCCTTTGTCTGATATCTGTCCAGATCTTTTTAAATTTGGTTGCCTTTTTTTTTTAATCCTCAGCTGAGGATATTTTTTCCATTGCCTTTTTCAGAGAGAGTGGCAGAGAGAGAGAGAGAGAAACATCGATGTGAAAGAGACACATTGGTTGCCTCCTGCACATAGCCCAACAAGGGCCAGGCATCAAGCCTGCAACCGAGGTACGTGCCCTGGGCCAGAATTGAACCCAGGACCCTTCAGTCCTTGGGCCGACGCTCTAACCACTGAGGCAAACTGGCTATTGAGTTGTCCTTTGTCAGGTAATGTCCTGTGAATATTTTTCCCCTGTCTGTGGCTTGTCTTATCTGTTGAGCAAAGATGTTGAATTTTGATGAAGTCTGATTTATGGGGGTTTTCATTTATGATGCTTGCTTTCTGTGTCCTTTCTGAGAAACCTTTGCTACCATCAAGTCATAAAGATATTTTCTAGTGCTTTCTTTATATCTTAGTGCTTTGTAGCTTCAACTTTTATGTTCAGTTTAGTGATCCACCTCAGATTAATTTTGCTATATGGTGTGAGGTAGGAGTCAAGGCTAATTTTCTTTTCCTGTTCAGTCATTTGTTGAAAACATTTTTCTTTCCTCATGGATTGCTTTGGTGCTTAAAAGAATCCTTTAAGTGTGGGTCTCATTCTGCTGTTTATTTTTTCCATTGATTATTTGTTAGTCTTTGTGTCAGTGACTCACTGTCTGGTTTACTGTAGCTTTCTTTATATACAGTGTTTTGGAGTCACATGGCATAAGCCCTTCAACTTTGTGCTTTTTCTAGAGAGCCTTGGATTTTCTAGATCCTTTGCCTTTCTGATTTTAAAATCAGTTATTGTCAACAAAATGTCTGCTGGGATTGTGCTTCGGACTGCATTGACCAGGAGGTCAATTTGAGAAGTGTTGAATGAGTGGATGAGTACATGTTCGAAACAGCTGGCACCGCTGTCCTTCCAGTAGCTCAGGTAGACAGGCTGCAGGTGGAGACAATCTAGACTCTCGCTCTGCCATTTTTTTATATTCTAGAATTCTCTGCATCTAGATCTGAACTTCCCCCAGTACTAAGGAGAGATTGGGGTGTGGGCAGTCAGTAGGGCTGGGGGTGAAGTAATATCTGTGGAGAGTCCGCTGTACCTGCCACTTTCTGTGCAGGATGCTGTCTGCACATTGTGTTTTAATCAGTCTTCTGTTAGAGTAGGGGTATCCCCTCTCTAATGGGAGCAGGGAGCTGGTCGGGACGGCAGGCACTGACTCTGGTCCGGCATCCGCCATCCCCTCCTGAAGTACTGAGAGTGGTACATGAGGAAAGCAAGGCTTAGAAAGTGAGTCGTTCAAAGAATACCTGGGGGCCTGTCGTCAGGTACCGTTGTAAGGGCCAGGGAGAAAGCTGTGAGCAGGAAGTGCAGCCTCTGTCCTCATGGAGCTCACAGCCCAGCCCACGTACAAGGAGCACCCAGCGGGCAGATAAAAGGTGACTGCTGGGGAGGAAGGGGCCAGGATACTGCGGAGAGAGGGGAACTAGGAGTCCTCCCTTTGACAGAGTGGGGGTGAGGCCTCTGCAGGGGTGGCATTTGAGCGGAGGGTGGCCCTCCATGCAGAATGCAGGGACCTTCCTGGCAGGGGGACCCTGGGAGTGGTTTGTCTGTGGCTCCTAAGCAGTGAATTTGACTCTGGTCTGTCTGCCCCAGACCTCACCTTCACACTTCCAGTGCTGCTCTGGGATTGTACCCACGGCCCAGCACCGTCACCAAGTGCCCACTGTGTAGTCTGCAGTGCTCTGCTTTACGTAATCTGCACTTGGACACCTGTTTGTGTGTGAGCAGACATGCCTGTTGCTGTGGGTACATGTATGTTTTTCTATTTACAGCTGATACTGAGGATGTGTGCATCGTGGAAAGATTGTTCTCAAGCAGCTTGGTGGCCATCGTCAGCCTGAAGGCTCCTAGGAAGCTAAAAGTTTGCCACTTTAAGAAAGGAACTGAGATCTGCAACTACAGCTATTCCAACACAATACTGGCTGTGAAGCTGAACAGGCAGGTGAGCGGTACCCCTTTTTGAATCAGACTGTACTCTTCCCAAGTCTCAGGTGTGCAGTGCAGCTGTGGCTGTTGCTGCCCTTCCAGAGTCCTCAAGCACCTCCAGGACAAAACCGTGGTCCTTAGCCAGCGATTCTGGTCCCTCCACCCTCTGCTCCAAGCCTCTGCTCACCTCACCCCACCCCACCACCCCACAACCCCACCTCAACTTGGCTTTCTCTCAGTGTTGCTCAGACCATCCATTCCTTGCTTTCCACCACTGTTCTTTACTTATCCTCTGGGCACGTGTGTCTCTGTAGCAGGTCCTCGAGCAACGTCATTTCGTTGTGACTCGAGATGCTATAGGAACGCGCTTCTTGTTTCTGTCGATTAACCTGGGGTAAAACTGGTTTTCTTACACGGCATTTCGCTTAAAGTCACAGTTTCCAAGGACTGTCAACAGTGTTGAGTGGGGACTGACTATTTTGTGTACTCATCCTTAGGGTTGAATCATAGTTTATTTAGCATCTTTTGCTTTTACCTGTTAGCATCTTCTTTTTCCTATATTAAACTGTTAGTTTAACTCATTTAAGATAATACAAGTTTACTACTTTTTTTTAATATGTATTTATTGATTTCAGAGAGAGGGAGAGAGAGAGAGAAACATCAATGATGAGAGAGAATCATTGATCGGCTGCCTTCTGCACGCACCCTACTGGGGATTGAGCCTGCAACCTGGGCATACGCTCTGATCGGGAATTGAACCTCAATCTCCTGGATCCTAGGTCGATGCTCAACCGCTGAGTCACGCCAGCCGGTCGAAGTTTACTACTTTTTATCTCTTTTCCAAAACTCAAAAGGGTGTCTGGCCCAGAGTGTGGACTTGGTGACTAGCCCTTGGTTTCATTTCATGGACTCTCCCATGGCTGTGCTTCCTCACAAGTATGGCACTGTCCTCCAGTCCTGCAGCATCTCCTGTTCACAGCAGAGCACTCTGTGCAGGGAGGGCTGAGTAGGCATGGAACCTCCAGGACGCAACTGTGGGTCCTGACTTGGTGACCACTGACCTGACAAACAGGATTGGTCTATTAACAGAAATAGTTGGTTAAAATGGGAAATTATAAGGCATAACGTGTTGAACCTTTTTAAAACTTAAAATACATGTGCATGTCCTGAGGCAGCTGATGTCGAGCGCGTGCGCTCCAAGATGTCTTTCTCACATAAATCCTCACTTCGATGCACCGCTCCAGGTACATCCATCCTAAAATGCAGCAAGAACATGGACCCCTGTAAAGCAACCTGGGTGCAGAATGTATTTTTATACTTTTAAGAAATCCCGGGGTGGAACGGGTCCTTGGGGAGAAAAAGGGACATCTGTAATATTTTAAACAAAAATAAAATTAAAAAAGAAATCCCTAGGCTTTTACCTTCATCTTGCTGTGCCTAATTCAACAACAGGTTTTTAATTACCAGACCCATCCAAGGCACTCAATCTAGTTTTCATGAGGGGTAGGGGGCGAGGGGTGAGAGACAAACGAAACACGCTTGTCTTACTATATTGCCTCATTTCTGTGACATAGAATCAAATAGCATAGTTAAACATCCTGGTACAAGCTGCAGAAATAATGATGGGACAGGCACACTGGCTCTGGATACGCCCTAACCAATGGGTGAGGAGCAGGGTGCTGGGGAGAGCCACCCAGTAATGCCAGCGCCGTATGTGCAAGTGGCCAGGCCACGTGGTGTTGTAGAATGAATGCAAAATGTCTTGATCCAAGAGTCCACTGAGTAAAGACTAAAGCACGTGCAGTGTTTTGGCTCTTTTTTTTTTCTCAAATATATCTTTATTGATTTCAGAGAGAGGAAGCGAGAGCGGGGCAGAGAGAGAGAAACATCAGTGAGAGAGTCATTGATCGGCTGCCTCCTGCATGCCCCCTACTGGCTATCAATCCCACAACCCAGGCATGTTCCCTGACCAGGAATCTAACAACAATCTCCTAGATCACAGGCCGATGCTCAGCCACTGAGCAGCACTGGCTGGGCTGGGCTCTTTCCTTATGCTTTCCTTTGTTTCTTTCTTCTAGAGGCTCATCGTGTGCCTGGAGGAGTCTCTGTACATACACAACATTCGGGACATGAAGGTGCTGCACACCATCCGGGAGACGCCCCCAAACCCGGCAGGTAAGTAGATTGAGAAGAGAGCCTGCTTTCCTGAGTGTCCTTTTAAAGGCAGCCAGGGATGAGAGGTTTCTTCTCTTCAGAGGTCGCAGAGATGTAGACAGAGTAAAGCTTATTGACCTTAGACCAAGCTCCCTTCCTCCTGATGCTGGTCTTGTGACCATATCAATCAATGGTTTGGTCAGCTTCCAATTTTGAGGTCACTAATCACTTCTGACCAGAGGCCTTTAATCTTCTTTTACAACCCTGCTGTCACCTGAAGTGGATCCTAAACACCCAGCAGTGCCCAGGCTGGAATGGATCAGAGCCCTAACTTCTACGTTCTTTGTTAAGTAAATGCTCTGTATGTCTGACAACTTTAAAGGAACCCTCGGGCCCTAACTCTGCTGTGCTCTGTGTGTCCTCAGGCCTGTGCGCACTGTCCATTAACAATGACAACTGCTACCTGGCGTACCCTGGCAGTGCCACCATCGGAGAGGTGCAGGTCTTCGACACCATTAACCTGGTGAGGTTCCTCTGGTGTTTGCGTGCTCTTCCAAATGCACCTTGTTGTGGAGAGGGGTGCTGTGGGCCCTGGCATCCTGAGTTCCCTTTGCTCAGCAATGCAGTTCTCACTTTTGAATGGCAAGGCGGGTGGGCGAATCTGTCCCAGGTGCAGTGCTGCACACGCACACACACACCCCCCATGAGCTCCTGTCATGTGAGTGCTGGGAGGGACACAGAACACTCCAGACACTTAAGGATGAGCTGCTTTGCTTTCTTAAGGTTTTGCATACACTTCCTTGGCCCCCTCCCCAGTAAATTAGGTGGGTTTGGTGTGTGTTGACCGGATGGTAGTCACTTTTGACTCACTCTCCTTTCCAGAGAGCTGCCAACATGATCCCTGCTCACGACAGTCCTTTAGCTGCCCTGGCTTTTGACGCCAGTGGAACCAAGCTTGCTACTGCTTCTGAGAAGGTAAAGCTGCTGGGCCTCATGGAAAACTAGTCCAGAGGTCTCAGCAAACTTTGGATCCATTCATACAGGCTACCAAACAAGTTTCTGTGCCAACCAGCGCAGAGTAGCACAGGTAACAACCCACCTGGCAGGCTGTGAGGTGTGCTGCCTGGGAGCGGGCTCTCCTGACGGGAGCTGGGGCATGTTTGGGACAGAAGACCAAAGAGCCCTGCACAGCTGTGCACTCACCACTGCACCGTGAAATGGCACACAGTACATACTGTGGTACAGAGGGGACTTAGAAGGGGTGAGAAGTGTAAAAAAGCAGAGGCAGGTCTGTCCAGAGCTGATCTGAGCACAGTTGGTTTTTTCTGTTTGACAGAGTGGTGATTGTATTATGTGTCCAGCTCATGCTGTTCTTTCCCCTGCGTCATACTGCACTGAAAGAAAATGCCTTTAAGGGCTCCGCAGTATTCATTTGTGACGGCTTAGCACGTTTTTGATACACTCATACTGTTTCCGATGTTTAGAACACGTTAGCATAACACGCTAGTGTATAAATGTGTGTGGATAACGTTTATGTTACAGGTAACTGTGTGTAAGTCTCATGTACAAGTCTCTCGTGTGCATCTCTGATACTAAGAGAGTCTGGTGGGGGGATTTCTGGGTTGAAGGAGGGGCCTTGCCTGCACGCAGGGGAGTGGCCTTCGCAATCCCCTGTCTGACCTCTTCTCAGCCTCCGCGACCCTGGAGGCTCCTGTCCTTGGCTCTTCCCACCTTGAACAGCTGCACCTTTTTCCTCCGCTGTTCCTCTCTCGAGAATTCCTTCCCCATCTTCTCTTGGGAGCTCGTTTGTCTCCTGGCTTGTTCCCTCTTCTGAGCACTGGACCTGCCCCTCAGTTGCCTGCTACCTCATCTCACTTTGATGCTTTTGCCCTGAGAACCTAAAGTATCCTCGCCTCCAAAGTCCCTCTTCCCCCGAGCCAGCCGACCAAGTGAGATGCAGAAAGCCGGCCCCCAGCTCCAGCTTCCCTGCACGCGTCTTCGTTGACTTGTGTACCCAGTTTCTGCAATAATGATACCATTCACGGGTCACTATGTCATGAGTCACACTGGACCCTTTCTGGTCCCTTACCTCATTTGATCCCCTTGTCAGGGAGAACGTTTTTCTGTTTCATGTTGGGAGCTGAGCAGTTATGCATGCCCAGGGTTAACCAGCGGGGCAGAAAGGGACTGGACTGCAAGCCCAGCTGCAGTGTCACCACGTCCTTCTTGTCTCCCTTTAGCATGGACGTGGCTGGGAGATGCTATTACCCTTGCCCTACTTCTATGGTTTTCAGCATGTCTTAGGAAGGCACTAAAGCACTTCTTGGAATTTTGAGGCCAGTAAAAATAGAACAGTTTCTTCTGGGCTATAAAGAACAAACTTGATTTGCTTTTACACAGAATCCTCCTGGTTTGAGGGATTAGACCACCAGTGGCCGCCTCAGCCCTGCTGGGTGCTGGGGCCACCCTAGGTGTAGGGCTTAATCCTGCCTTCAGGGAACTGCAGCCAAGCTGTGACCAACAACCTGTCATCGATTAGTATTGCACAGTGGGCAGGCCATTAAATATAAATACATGTCTGTAAATAAACCTGAAAGTTTGAGCTACAAAAGACAACCTTGGCATAATTGTGTTTGTGTGTGAATGCACAAATTTCCCTCTCATTCCCAAGAATTACAACCTCAGAGGGTGTCCGTCCATCTCGAGAGAAGCTCTGTCTTCACAAGGGGCTGACATTATTTCTCTGCATCTGCTCTCTGATGGCTGGACAGACCCTCTGCTGTCCGTCTCCTCTGTGCTGCTGTGGCCAGCTGGTGGGCTGGGTTCTTCACTGCCCTGGTGGTGACCACACTGTTCAGTTTCACTTCCTGGGTAGGTCTCTCTCTCAGTCTCCCAGATTCCAGCCTTGTCTGTCTACCCACACACCCCATGAAGGTTTTAGGTGGTAGGGAAACTGGCATCCCCTAAATGTTTTGAGTCCGAGCAGGGAGGTGCTGAAGCTCACCGTTTATTCATATTTCCTTTTGTCTTAGTTGGTAGTTTTCCTGATACAGCTCATATATCATTGTGTAGGTTTGGACGGATTCCTTTCTAGGCAGTTAAGTAACTTTTTTTTTTAATAGTTTAAACTACGGATGACTTAGGAAAAAATAAAACTAATTTGTTCCACATTTGACATCAAGGCTGTTAGTGTTTAGAATAAGTGTTAAGTGGTGAACAGTAGGATGTTCTGGTGTGCTCGTGGCAGAAAGGGAGATGATTGTGAGGGAGCTCAGACACCTGGGGACCGGCCAGCAGGGGGCTCAGACACCTGGGGGGCCAGCCAGCAGGGGGCTCAGACACCTGCACACCGGCCCGCAGCACACTGTCATGAAAACCGTGCTGTGTTTCAGTTATAGTCTGACAGGAAGGAAATAGAGAAAGTCTGTCTTTACTGTTAAAGCCCTGTTTTCTTTTCTTCCTCCCTGTCACAGGGGACCGTGATTAGGGTATTTTCCATTCCAGAGGGACAGAAACTCTTTGAGTTCCGGAGAGGAGTTAAGAGGTAAAGTACATAAATCTCTAGAGTTGAATCTGGAGTTTCTCTTTGGATTTCAATTTTATATTCTCTGTGACTAACAAGCGGGCACATGAGCACTGGGCACCCAGATAAACAGCAGGCATTTTCAGCCTAGTTGGATGGTCTGGGAGGTAGGTAAAGAGATGTAAGGCAAGCCTTGTTTCATTTGCCGTGGTCCCACCTGAACACAGAACAATGGCCAGGTAAGGGAGTGGAGGAACTGGCAGAGCCAGACCCTGGGCTGTGTGCATTCCTCAGCCTGCTCTGCGGCGACGGGCTACTCCTGACCTGGTTAGCAGGCTCCTGTCCTTACTCTCTGCCCTGAAAACTGTTACCAGCTCCCCCACGTCCCCTTTTACCCCAGCAAGTCGCTTTGACTCTTTCTTTAAAAACAAACAAACTATAAGTCATGGTGAGGAGCTCCCTCCCTCCCCCATCCATCTGCAGACCTTGCCGGGCTGTAGTTAGCACTCTGTCCCTGACCTGCTCGGAGAAGGGGTGCTATTCTGGTTACCCCTGGGCCTTCTGCCTCAGGACTCAGGAGAGATGGGGATCCAGGCTCCAAAGCCAAATCCCTGAGCCCCACCCGTAGTTGTGTGACCCTGCTCAGCAGTACTTGACTTCTGGGGCTTGGTGTCCATCCCAGTTGGGCATCTGGTAGCGCCCAGCCCCCAGGGTCAAGAGTTGGACCAGTAAGTGCTGGTACTGAGGAAGGGCTCCAGAACCTGTAACTGCGTGTGTCTGTTCCGTCGCCTTGCCCCCATCCCCCACGTCATCGCCCCCACCTTGTCCTGTCATCGCTCGCTCTCCATGGGGCAGTTCCCACAGGTTCACAGGTACGTCCTGCCTCCAAAGCCGGGCATCCAGCACCTCCCGTTACCTCCTTCTGCGTTTCTCTCCCCCTTTTCCCTTGCTTTTCCCTACACCACATTCTGGACTCTTCCTGTGCTGCTCCTGCTCCATTTCTCCTTCATCTTGTTTCTGCCAGGGAAGCTCCTCTTCACCCTGCAGCCCCATAGCCCCCTAAGCGGTCATCTGCCTGTGCTAATGTACAGTGTGGCCCCGGCTGCTTTCCCGCGTTCCCCGTGTTTCTCCTGCCCGCTAGGTGCTGGGCAAGATCTGCCAGGGTGTGCCCTGTCTGTTCACACACCTTACCTTGGTAAAGACCACCACTGCCCATCCACCCACTGCCAGGCCAGAGGGACTCGGGGGGCCCGATGCTGGCCCCTTTCTCTCGTTTTGTGCACCGAGTTAGGCGCAGGCATATGAGCTCTCCCAGGGCTGTTCCTCACTCCCGAGGTCTCCCCTTCTCGTGTCCTGTCCCGTCTCTTTCTCCCGCCCCATTCATGTTACCCTCCGATTCTCACTCGCCTTGGTCTCTGCTTTCTGCCCCGTCAGCCCTTTCTTCTGACTTTAGCCCAGGCTCTTACTTGGGGATGTGAATACAGCTAGAGTACACCCCATTTGGACCCTGTCACCCCCTCCTTTTGCCTATAGGATCAACTCCAAACTCCTAAGCTCCTCGGCTGGCAGCCTAGCCTCTGGCCTTTCCTTTCAGCTGTTTATTCCCCTTCCTGTTGCTCCCAGCCCCAGCCCCACCACGTTCATTTCCTCAGAAGAGTAATCCCTTTCTCCACGGGGGTCTGGCATGTGCTGTCTCCTATGCTGGGCCTGTTGTGTTGGTGACCTGGACTCCTGAACCCTTTGAGTCTGTGTCAGGTGCCCCTCAGGAGGCCTTCCCCTGACACTAGGACATAAGCAGCCCCCCCTTCTGTAGCGCCTTCCACATCTGTCATTAGTGCTCCTTTGCCGGCAGCCAGTGCAGCTCCTGCACACGCCGCACTGGAGGCTCCAGGAAGGCAGGGCTGTGCCAGCGCCACGCTGTAGGGCTGGGCGTTGGAGCGCTCAGTCCGTCTGGACTGAGGTGACTAGGACCTTTCCCGTGGAGAGGGCCAGGCTTGATCCCAGGCCTGGAAAACAGTGCAGGTTTATTTGCTGGCTTTAGGATTTTTACAGTGATTTTTATGACATATTATAGAGACTTAGTGTCTTGAATGTTGGAAGTTTTACTCTATAAAACATTAAAAGTGATCAGTTTACTTTTTGTTGTTAACAATTGCTGTAATTTAAATTAAAGAAAATTGACTGTTTAAGCACATAATGAAGAATTGCTCTTCTTGGTGTTACATTCCAAACATTTTTCTCCGAAGAAAATTTTTGAGATGACAGGAAGGAGAAGCTGCCAGTAGACCCACGTGTGGCTGTCAGGGAACTTTCTTCTCTGTGGTATTAGTTAGGGTCCCTTGAGAGGTTGCTGGCTGACTTGGTGTCTCCGGGTGATGGCATAACTCGGGCCTCCCTCATCCACAGGTGTGTGAGCATCTGCTCTCTGGCCTTCAGCATGGACGGCATGTTCCTCTCTGCCTCCAGCAACACAGAGACTGTGCACATCTTCAAACTCGAGACTGTGAAGGAAAAGTGAGTTGCAAAGATTCATTTGTTTAAAAAACAACAGAACACTTTGTCCAGTTTACACTAACCGGTGAAAACCTGAGCACAGATACTCCTGCCTCCTGATGTTTCTGTCAGGAAAGACCCTGCTCTGGCTCTATAATAAGTGTCACCAAGTCTGCACACTGCAGTGAAGGATTTGTCCCCCTAACATGATCTAACATGGGCAGTGTGCTGCGCGTGAGGTTGGCGGGAGGGTAACGATGGCTGACTGGGCCAGTGCGGACGTCCACCTCTCAGCATGGGCCTATGCACAGCAGCACGTCTGAGTGCACTGCCCAGTGCAGGGAGCACTGTCCCAGCCTGTCTACTGGTAGGGCTCGTTTCTAAGGCAGGTGACTTAAATTATGTTACTGCAATGGATGTGCATGGTGAATGGGGTGCTGCTTTTCTCTTAAAATGCAAACATCCCACTGGGACTGGGGTTGATTAGTGTACGCTGTCTTATTCCAAGGAGCATTTCAGATAACTCACAGATACGTACAAGGTTAGCAACCATGAGAATGGACTGTGGGAAAGTAACAGCTGAAGTAAGATCCAGGGGTGGATCATGAATTGGGCCTGTACGTCCTCTCGTTCACTGCAAATTATTTGGGTAATCTGACGCGGCCCCTCGGGAAGGGCAGGCTCTTAGAGGCTGTGGCTTTCTGCACCCCTTTTTCCTGAAGGATGGGGATTTCTCTCTCAGGTTTTGGGGCTGATCCTGGTCTCTGTGTGGGTGGGGCATGATCATCTCAGCGAAGAGTCATGCGTCTGGTGACATTCCCTCCTAGGCCTCAGGAGGAGCCCACCACCTGGACCGGCTACTTCGGGAAGGTGCTCATGGCCTCCACCAGCTACTTGCCCTCCCAAGTAACAGAAATGTTCAACCAGGGCAGAGCCTTTGCCACAGTGCGCCTGCCGTTCTGTGGCCACAAAAACATCTGCGCCCTAGCCACGTGAGTAGAGGCAGCAGCCTCCCTTCCCTTTGCCCATGTGCATCCAGGGACAGTGACGGGGGGGTCCTGTGATGATCCGGCCTGAGAATAATCTGCAGACTTCGACTTTGGATTGAGCTGAGCAAGGTTCACGGGAAGTGCAGGGAACGGCGCCTGTGTCGTCATCAGGCGAGAATGCTTTTTCGGCTGTGCTCTCATTCCAGAAACTCCCTCTTCCTGTGTCTGTGGAGTGTTTATAGTGTTAATGAAGAGTGTCGTTAAGTCAGAGCTGTGTGAGATTGCTAACACTTAACCCTTTGGGGCTACAGAGCCAGCCAGTGGCACTGCAGAATGCACAGGGAGCCCGCAAACCTCACTGGCATCCAAAGTGTAGCTGTGAAAGTTTTGTGATAGTGACTGTGCTTCTGTGAATTTTAAGATGTTACTTTTTATCCAACTGGCATAGTTGAAAAGTCTTACGGAATTGCCAACCCTTAGTAGTCAGAGGAACCAGGAGACTGACCCGCCTGCTTTCCCTCAGTGGGGATCAGTGCTCATTCATGGTCAGGACACCGTCGGCCTTGATGTTGGGGCCACAGGTAGCACAGTGGGTGTGATCTTTGTCCTGCATGCACATAGTATTCACATAGCGTGTCACCTCATGCAGCTACATTTGTGCCTGCTTTTGGGGGTCAGAGGGCTCCCCTGGCCATGCCAAGTGTGAGGCTCTCATTTAATAAGATCTCTGAAAGCTGTAATCCTAGAACGTGGCTGCTTTTTATCCCCTCTAGAATTCAGAAGATTCCCCGATTGCTGGTGGGAGCTTCTGACGGGTACTTGTACATGTACAACCTGGACCCCCAGGAAGGGGGTGAGTGTACCCTCATGAAACAGCACAAGTAAGTTGCCTCTCCCGGTCTCCACCTCCTCAAGCTTTCTCTCTCTGGTCAGTCTGCATTGGGCCCGTGTGTGTGTATGTTTTCCCTCAAAGGACAGTGTGGCCCGTGCCATTTAGGAGCTTTGTCTTCCCGGACACCCTGATGTGGGCAGACATCCGCTCTCCCACCCCGTCTGCCAGTGTCCCTGGGCAGAGATGGGCAGGAAGTGGCCAGTGCTGCACCTGCCCTTCCTGGGGGGGGG